TTCTTTGTGGCTTGGAAAAAAAGCTTATAACGCTTAATCCTAAGGTACTTTAGTTGCATGAGTTATATTAATACTAACTATGTCCCAAATTAATTTTCACATTTGACTTTTGAAGCTTTTGTTCTTCAATTTTGACCATAAAACGAATTTTTATTAGTTTATCACATACATTAATAATGCATATTACCTTCAATAAATGTTTAACACCTATTTTAGTTTATGATCCAAATGTACGTAAAGCAAATTATGAAATACAAAATCTCAAGAAAAAAAAGTCCAAGAAAAAGCAACCTATGAGTTATTATTTAGTGACAAGTGTAATAAGTGCAACAAACTATAACAATGGTACTCCTAACAAAAAAAAAATATAGTTTAATTTATTTGGTTTATATTGTATGTTTTTTGATGTAATAACTTTATATGATTAATATTATTAAAAAATTGTTTTTTTATTACATTATATTTTATATTTTCATTTTTCCGTATCATAGTAATGAAAGGTGACAAATATTTGTAATTAAATTAAAAAAGCAATTCTACAATATAAATAATAAAAAAAAATGTATCAGTGTTTATATACATCATTTTTATGACGGGTTAAATGTATCGGTGTAAGTAAACAATAATAGTGAGAAACCATTAAACATATTAGTAAATGTAACTTATGCTGTCAATTTAATTGCATTTGTGTCTTTAAAAATCAACAATTATCATAATAATATTTATAAATGATGACTATAAGTAACATTTATCACTCTAGAGGAAATCTACATCACTATAAGTATTTTATGATCACTGTTTAATTCCCAGTAAGTGAATAAATATACACAATATTCACGATATAATATTAAACATATTAGCAAAAATTACCAATAATCACAATAAAAAAACAACACGTTAGTATAAATCATTTTTAGTTTGCATTAACTTTTTATCTGTCGGTGTATGTAATCAATTTAATGATAAACCATTAAACATGTAAGTAAAGATAACTTATGTTGATAGCTTAATTATATTTGTATCACCAAAAATCAACAATGGCTACTATAATATTTATAAATTGTGACTATAAGTAAACATTTATCTCTTTATAGGAAAAAAACCACATCACTATAGGTGTATTATTAATGATGTTTATCAAAATAAGATGGATATATTTCCAAAAACATCATACCACATAATGATGGCTTTGACCTATAATAACGGGTTTCTTGTGTTATGCTCAACATAATTGAATGACAACATAATTCTATCTTGAATAATGCGATCTTTCCTCTTATGTTGAATAAAAAAACGACATAAAATATCTATAATGACGAGTTTTTTAATGTTAATAATGCCAAATTTTGTACTACTGTATGTCGTTTTATATCATATATGCATTTTAGTCATCCAAATTTCTTAAAATTAAACTCCTAATGTGATTTACGTTGAAGATTTTTAGAAATTTCACAATTATATTCCTTTTACATAATTTTCATTTGTAACATATATATATATATATATTATATATATATATATATATATATATATATATATATATATATATATATATATGGTTAGGTTCATTTGAAGCCACCTATATTTTGTGAGACCGTGAGACGCATTTTTTTATTTTTTTTTAGTTAATTGATGTTCCGAAAATAATATTTAAAAAAAAAGAATTTTTTGATTTTTTCATTTATTTTGCATTTTAAAATTATTTTTAGAATATGTACAGTGTAATATTCTATTTAGAATATTTCATGTATTTTTCAAAAAAAATAGAATTTTTTTTTATTTATTTTTAATTTTTTTTAGTTAATTCAAGTTCCGAAAATAATATTTAAAAAAAGAATTTTTAGATTTTTCCATTTATTTTGCATTTTAAAATTATTTTTTAGAATATGTCAGTGTAATATTCTATTTAGAATATTTCATGTATTTTTCAAAAAAAAAAAACCGAATTTTTTTTTATTTTTTTTATTTTTTTATATTTTTTTAAGTTAATTCAAGTTTCGAAAATAATATTTAAAAAAAGAATTTTTGGAGTTTTCCATTTATTTTGCATTTTAAAATTATTTTTAGATTTGGTCTCACGGTCTCACAAAATTAGAATGGTCTCAAATGAACCTGAACCTATATATATATATATATATATTAATATATATATATATATATATATATATACACACACACACACACACACACACACACACACACAACATTGTAAATGTTCAACAGAAAGATGTGTTTTAAGAAGATAATTGTAAAATTTCGAAAATCTTGAAAACATATTCAAGATCGGGGTTGTCGGATGGAACTCCATTGTCAAGTTTGCAAGTTAACCATAAGTTAATAGACAAATAAGTGCATGCATGATTTGTAAGTTTTGAATAACTTTTTGAGTTTTATGTTTAATATAGGACGAGTATTTATATTTATCTTGACATTTCTTGCTTAGAACGTGAATCGTGGGCAACATATTGTACATCCAATTATGTATTGTTGATTATAGATTGTACATTCAATCATTGATCATGGTCTTTTTTAGTTATGATATGCTATTACTATCGATATGTAGTTGGAGTCTGATGTATGGGTTAGGGCCTAAAATATGTTGCTTTGGCGGAATATAACCATGTATATTTAATTTTTTTCGATTCTAATATGATATATTATGTATTGTCGATTATAGATTGTACATTTAATCATTGATCTTGGTATGTTTTAGCTATGCTATGCTGTTACTATCGATATGTAGTTGGAGTCCACTGCATGGGTTAGGGCATGAAATACGTTATTTTGGTGGAATATAACCATATATACTTAATTTTTTTAGATTCTAATACTTTATATACAAATATTTAGAATAATAGATGCAAACGAGCATCATTTAACAAAATGGCATGGGTTTGGAACCATCACAAAAAATATGTTCTTAAGCAACAATATTTTTGCAAGATAGAACTATGTTTTCTAATTAGCAAGATAATCTCAAGATGATAGCCTTAATCAAGTGTATATGCATAATTACTAAATTTTGGTATTAAGTTTTATTTTTGATATAGGACAAGTATTTATATTAATTTGTACCCTTCTTGATATTGGTTGGTTAGAACCTAAATCAAGGGCAACATATATTGTACATCTAATTACATGTTGTCGATTATTGGGTGTACTTTCAATCATTGGTTATGGTCTATTTTATTCATGGTATGTTATTACTAGCTAGAGTCTGATGCACGTTCTGGAGAATCAAATTGGTTGCTTCGGCCGATTAAAACCATTTGTCTATAAATATTTAGTTCCTAAATCGGTTATCATACAAATGATGCCCTTATAAGTAACGGAATGGCATGGGTGGGTTTGAAGCTTTGTGAGATCCATCTATTACATGGGTTAATTTTTAAAAAATAAACATAAAGTCAAAATATTTAAGAATTTTGAATTTATAAGAAAAAATAAGAAAAATAACAAATTATTGTAAGAGAAATATTTTTTTTATCTTTTATATTTAAACAAATAATTTAAATAAATTAAAAAATTAACAAGCTTTAATTTTGAGAATTTTAAAATTAAAATGTAAGTTAATTAATAAAATTGATATTCATTTATTACTATAGTTATTGTAATTATTATATTAAAATATTATGTGAAATTTAATACAATAGAAAAATTTATAAAATAACATGTAGAAAAAAAATTAATTTAAAATAACCACGAAATAATATTTGAAAAATTAAATGAAAGTATGACAAGTGGCATAACAAACCTTGAATTTTCATTTAATTTTTGTTGGCTTATTGTTCATAAGTACTATTCTCTTTTGTAAACACTAGCATTCCCTTTCCAATATCCTAATTTTTTCCTTACAAATAAAGGGTTGCTTTCTGTGTATTTAATTTTCTTTTCTTTAAAAAATTAGCTCAAACAATCAAGCAAACTAGTTGCCTTGTTCAACAAATATCAGCAATATGTCCAAGAGTCTATTGAATATATAATAAAATACATGTACATGAATAAGGAAAGGATGTATACAAAACTAATATAAGATATGATTTCATTGATATCAGTGAGATATACTGTTAATACCCCCTTCAAGCGAATCAGCGGATCTCCAACACGTAACTGCATACGAAATTGTTCAAATACTGGACGTGGAAGACTTTTGGTAAAGATATCCACCCGTTGAAGCTTGATTGGAACAAAAACAAGTATATAACTTTGTAGAGGAAACGAGTTCTCGAACAAAATGATAATCAATGTCTATATACTTCGCTTGTTTATGAGAAACATGATTTTAACTAAGGAAGATACCATGTAAGATGTAATAATATCACCACAAATTGTGGAGACGATTTTATTGAATATATAATACAATACATGTACATGAATAAGGACATGATATATACAAAACTAATATAAGATATGATTTCATCGATATCAATGAAATGAGAGATTAAATTATCTATTACATTTTATATCTATAAGTATTCTTACACATTAATATTATAACATATGTTACCATTCTATATTTACTTAACTATTTCATAAAAAGTATATTAAAAATATATCAAATAATATTAAATTGAATGGTAGAATGATGACACGTGTCATAAAGTTAGTGGGCAACCAGAAATATTTATATGTATAAAAGATAGGAGTGAGATATATTGTTAATATAGTATAAGACCCTAAAAATACCAAACTAATTAACTTTTGAGTACCTAAGAATTTTATTATTTCCATTTATTGACATAAAATCTTATTCATTACATACAAATTCTTACACCGTTATTTAGAAAGAACTACGAACAATACTAGAATCAACATAATCAACAGTTGAAATATCACATACATAAGGAGTAATGTTATACCCTTCTACCGATTCTCCTAAAAGTATCTTTATCGGAAATATACCATAATTGTCTATGTTTCAGTTTCCATGAAATATCTTTTAAGATGATTGGTAGAAGAATCTAACCTCGCTCGTAACACAATAAAATTTTAACACTTGTAGATTTTTCCAAAAAAAAAAAAAAAAAGAATAAAACTAAAATAAAAAGATATTGTGACTTTGTGAGTGTCATCGGCATTGATCATTTCTTCCAGGCCCACCATAGTAAAAGTAAGTGCCCCATTGACTGCTGCTAGAGCTTTTAATGTTATAACAATTGTTGTTCTCGGCTAGAGTCGATATATCATGAGCTGAGATAAGACTGTTATCTGAATCAACTATCTCTAGGTTTCGAAAATAGCTTGCTTTTCCAAACCCATCTTCTGCAAAATGACCCGACCCCATTCCAGTGGATGTGTGTTCACCATTTGCTCGTGAATTCACGACCTCACCTCCCCATTCCACCATTGTTGCTCGATCAGCAAGATGTGTGAATAGCTCTGCCGGCCAATACCCTACTAGTGTGTTCTCTCCGAACCCCATCCACCAATTCCCAAGTTTTGGATCCTATCATTTGTAAAAAATTATATGTTAAACCAAAGAATCATTAGGTAAAAATGTTTTAATTAATAGTAAGAGAAGATCTTGTATGCAAGAAGGTTTTTTACTAATCTTTAGATTGTTTTTCAGGTCTAAGAAAAAAGAAAATAAAAGATACTATATGTTTAATATATAGTTTAACTTTTTTTTTTTTTTAGTTTGTAGATAGAAACTTGAAATTTGAAAGTCAATTTGAATTGTTGATTTCTAATGAAATCAAATGTTTACTACTATTAGTTATGAGTGATGGATTTTCTTAATTTCTTTGTTTTCTCGAAGTAATAAAAAATCATTTGTTTAGAGATATTATTCGTAAAAATATTGTAAAATGTTACCTTCCAAATGACTATGGTAACATCAAATTGGCTTCCTTCGAATTCAGATAGCGGGGAAATAGCAGCACCAATAGCGATTCGGCTATTGGTCTGTATGAATCCTGAACATAACAAGTTGTAACATCCGGTTGCTTGATATGCATCACTCTGTACATGTCGAATATGAAATGATTTAGCTCATCTCTAGCTAACTTAGTTGTATAAGAGAATTTGAGTACAACTATAATCAAAGTAGTCAATAATATTCATGAGCTCCAAGAAAATAATAATTGAAATGTACACTTATTGTAAAGGGTCATTTTCGTGCTACAATATCTTATTATTCGGTATAGTTAGTAAATGAAAAATCGGACCACCAAAAACTTTAAAGGAAGAACATGGAGTTGTTTGGGATCGTAAATATTATTCTTAAATGTGTTGCCATACCATCAAGCACCACGAGCCCAATATGTTGTCCATCCAATTCACCCCAAATTTATTTCTTATTTAACTCTTTATCAATAATATGGCTAAATTTTTATTTTAACCTTTATCAAATATTTAACCATATTACCTATGGTTAAAATATAAAAAAATTGTAAAAAATATATATATGAGAGAGAGATATTACCGTCCAGTAAGTGAATAATCGAGGTCTACTGTCACCATAAAGTTCCGGACTGACCTGACTAGTAGAAGAATCAAGGCTTTAGATATTGCATTACATCTATTTATGTTATAAAACAAAAAAAAAAGTTTGACAAATATACATACTTTAGGTGTCATTCAAATTAAAATCAATACATGTAACCATTTCGTTTCGTTGTAATTTAAAAATCATTGGTTTCAACTTCAAGATTCATTTAAAATACTTCCACTATTATTAAAATATTAAAACTCGATAACGACACTAACCCAAACTTCAATGGAGGTTGACAAAGTCATAACTCCATTTTTTCGATGTCAAACACACACTCACACACACAAATACACACAGTGACACACACATACACATTTTGGAAATATAAAAGAAGTATAGAAGGGGGTGTACGTACCTGCCATCCAGCTTCAATGCTATTGAGATCAGAGCCATCGAAAGACCCGGAAAGAACCCAAATCTGGGAAAGACTGAACTCATTAATCACTTCTATCTTTGGGTCCCACACGTTTATTGTCGCTTTTGCCCCGTAAATCTCACTTGATGTTCCTGTGTATGCTATTGCATGCTATCAAAAACGAAATACCCACCATTAATTAACTACTAATCCATATAATTTACAATCTCCAAAACTATAAAAATAGCACCAAATTCCATATCTTTTATAACTATAAAAAAAAATCAAGTTTCTTCAGGTATAAATTTGTACAACAGCTTGATACGAAAATAAATTAAGGCAACATTTCATCAAATTTACAAAGTTGATAATTAATTTTAAAATGTTATCTTATATATTTGTACGAAAGTACCATGTGAAATGGATATAAAGTCAACTGCTTATTGTTGTAAGGAAATGGTTTACTTGGAGTTTATGCAAAGCTTTTCTTTGAGTAGCGTTTAATAAACGTATTCACGTGGAAGCTTCCCATAGGCATATGGTCAACTTTATATAAAATCTGGTTAACATTTGATTAAGTTGTATTTTTATAATTAACATACATTATTTATATTATATATTATATAAATATTTATGTACAAATATATATTTACCTCATGCCCGTTTCCACTAACCACATCAGGTGCATCAGCACGTCTCGCAAGTGGTGCATTACTACGTCGTTTTTTGCCAAAATCATATAGGGAATTTGATCTCAGAACATCGTGCACCGTGCTCCGTCGCACCGGAACTGTCCCTTTGGGACACTTTTTACCATTTTGGTGCCACATTTGCCACGCATCTCTTCTTATATACCCTTCATTTTGACTAATATTTGCAGATTTGCCACTAGGATCTTCCTCCTGTGTTTTCACCATTGATTTCACCGTTGGCATTTTTGGTGGCACTCTCTGCATAAATTGAAATATTCATTAATTGATTTTGTATCTAAATATGATACAAGAATGTTAAAATTAAATTACTCCATTTATGGATGGTATTAAAAGGTTGTTGGTAGTTGAATGTTGAAACGTTTGATGACAAAAGCCGACCCATAAGGTCTATCTCTTGTAAAATGTTGCATTTTACGCATAAAGTGTACAAATTTTAAAACAATATGAACAAGAGAAAGATGGGATTTTTATAATGGAAGTAGATGTACAAGATTTTATTAATTGTGTAATAATGTAGAAGCTACGAAGCATATAGAAGTGTGAATTGTACCTGGATTTTGTGGGTTTTGAGGAGGGGGTGATCGAATGCTGGTTGTTTTCTTTTATGAACACAATCAATAATATCTCCATCTGGGCTCTAAGAAAAGTAAACGCAGAGGTATTTATAAGTCAGGTTCATCTTTAATGGTCATTGTACATGCGATTAATGCAATTGTTGAAGATACCTACATGTACACATTTTCCATGCATAATGGCAAAAATGAAAGTACAAGTGGTTAATGCGGGATTAATTACCTGAATGGATAAAACGGGAGGCTTGTTGAGGTTATCCAAATGCTTCTGAATCCTTGAAAGTCTCAAGGTTCCTACTTTTCTATACTTGGTGTAATTCATACCCCAAACAGATCTACCATTGTTGAAGAAAAGAACAAAGAAAAGAAGCAAGAATACAAGTCTTGAATACAGATTGCTGAATCTAATAACCATTTTTTCATGAACTCAATGCATGCCCAGAAAGCAAGAACAAGAACCCTAATTTTCTGTATCTGGAATAAGAGCTTTTACTGGAAAAAAACACAAAAAGTTTCAGGGCCAAGAAACTCTTATGTATAAGGTTGAAGAAGAAAGAAAGAAAGTTGGAAAACGACAGTATATGGGTTGTGTGTAAATGCAAAGAAAGGGGGGTTGGTTTGGCGCAGAAGAGCACACAGCTCAAACAATAATCATGATTGTACTCCTGAGAACTTCATAAAACCTGTATCTGTGTGTGCATTTGAGTGTGTGAGTTAATGTAATTGTCATTATGATGATTCTTTGAAGGAAAAGGAAATTAATGGCATGCACCAAATTGTTTAAAAAGAAATAAGGAAAAGGGCAATTAATTGGGTGTAATTAAAACACAGACCTACCCACCATTTATATTTAAGCTTACAATACTTCAATACCAGCATCTGCTTCTATCCACCTCTCAACATTTGCCATTAATGTTTCCTTTTTTATATCATCACAAGCAAACCTTGCGTAGGATGTATATCATTTGTAATTTAATATTCTCAAAGATCGAAACAACCGATATATATATATATATATATATATATATATATATATATATATATATATTATTATATATATATTATATATATATATATATATATATATATATATATATATATATATATTAGTTTATAACCTGTAAGAATCATGGTTATAAAATTAATTAAACTTTCTAAGTAAAAACTTAAAGCTATTAATTAATTATTTTAAATAAATTATTAATTAAAATATATTTTTTAGTTATATATAAAATTATAATAGTTGATTCTAATAAATACGTAAAATATATATCATCTTATAATTTGTATAGATTTTATTTTATTATAATTTGTATAGATTTTATTTTATTTTTATTCTAATGTTATTAATTTAATTTAATTAAAATGAGATTTAAATTTTTAAATTTGAAATGGAGAATAAATAGATTGATAAGTATCATGACATTAATTATAATGCCTAACATGATGATATATGACAAAAAACTACTCTTTTATTAGTATATATATATATATATATATATATATATATATATATATATATATATATATATATAGGGTTAGGTTCATGTGAGACAATAGTATTTTGTGAGACAATGAGACAAAATCTTGACGACTCATCTTGAATAATCTAAGGCTAAAATAAAATCATATTATACAATAAGGAAGCACAAGGAGACGATGACATTTTTGCAATTAAATGGAACTTCAGGATTAGAATAAGGGTGCGGAGGAGCAGTAAGGGGATTTTACTATCTATTTCATTCAGGTCGTAAACACTTTTTATATCCTCTTCAATCTTCTTCATTCTGATCTGCAAAACCCTAAGTAACCTCGATACGAACACCAAAATTCATCTTATTCAATCTCGATCATCAACATCTTCTACTTTGTTCTGATTCGGAGTTTCAACATTGTTATTTTGATTCAAAAATCGGATCAAGTTCTCGAGCATCAACATTCCTGAATCAAATGAAATTAATGCTTAGTTTTACAACAAATGGATCATTCTACAGAATTAGATTCATATGTTGCATCAAGAGTTAATCCAGGTGACGTATAATACTATAATTTCTTCTTGATTTTATATTTGTGGGTGATTTTGAGTTAAAGTATTCTAAGTGTCGATTTTATAATATGTATGTGATTATGAGTTGATGTATTTATCTATGAGATTTCTTCTCATTCTGATTCTACTTTGCACCAATCTTCCAACACCCCCAATAAAACCTTAAAAATCATTTTTGATTCACTGTCATTTTGATTTTAAACGTTTTTATTCATATTCTGATCTTGAATCATGTTTATGCCAATCCTTCAACTGCTACTTTTTCTCATGATTCTTAATTGAGGAAAGATTCTTCTCATAAGGTAATAAAAGATTCCATTGACTCATTTTTGGCTGCTAACAATTTCAATGTTAATAAATCTACAATGCAAGCTATGTTATTACGCACAAATGAAGTTATTCACAAAATCTGTAGAGATATTCTTGGAATTTGAATTATAATTTGATTCAAGATCTTAGTTTGTTTGGTTTATCTTATTAGTTTCATACTTCTAGTGTCAGTTAGGTGTTTGGTAAATTTAGTGATCGCCTGCTAGGTGTTCGACATAATTCACTATGTATTGATTTCATATTTTCTGCAAGAAAATTGCTATTGAAAATGATAGAATGTTATGCAAACATAACTTGCTTCCTAAATTGATTTTAGATGTTATTTTGTTTGACTAATTGGATCATCTAGTAAATATTTAGTGAAATGTTGTTTAATAATTTGATATTCTAAGTTTTCTAGTTTGATAAGTAATATGATACTTCTTAATTTGATTCAGATGTTACTTTGTTTGATAAATTAGATGATCCAATAAAAATATTAGTAAAATAGTCTTTAGTAACTTAATATTCTAGGTATTATGAGTTGTAAAGTTAGGCGTTACTTCATAAATTTGATTTTAGATGTAATTTTATTGATTAACCAGATGTTACTGCTTACTTTGATAAGTCAAAACTAAAATTTTGAGAATTTGTTATTCTATCCTAACATAAGTAAATTAATCTCTTTATGTTTTGGTTCGATAATATTTGATTCAGATTTAGATTCTACATAATGTAGATTCTAAATCATCTCTTGTAATAGGCTTTAGGAAGTTGTTAAACAATTTATTCTAATTTTGGAATTATTTTTCTGAAATTTATATTGTAGCTATGGTTAGTCTTGCTCCTGATCACTATAGCTTGGGCTAGAAATGAACTTCTTTATTGTAGTTTCGGTTAAATATTTTTGAAATTATTTGTTGTAGCTAGGGTTAGAGTATGATACACATTGAAAGCTAATGAAATTTATTCTGATGTGTTCTTAATGTGACAGATGGAAATTTATTCTGAAATAGTAAGTGGAAATGTGAAATATTGACTTGGGTAAAGAAGGTTTTTTGTAGAATAAGAAACATACAAAATAGTTATGCTTTGATCAATCAGATTCCAATTCCATAAGAAAGTAATTGGCGAAGCAAATAAATAGGGAAAGGTTGATAAGGATGGTCATTAAAAATGATGAGGGAATGGATCCATGCAAGAAACATACTGGAAGGACGTGAATAATTTTTTTAGAATATTTGAAAGTCTTTGATTATGAATAACATGGTAGTGTTTTGTTTGTTTAAATATTGGTTATCTTTTTTTTTTTTTTTAAGTTTTGAACAATATGTATGATTGTTTCAATGTTTAGTGAATGTTTCACAGAATAATAGTCATGGTTAAAAAATAGTTATATTTTGACCAATCTGAAATATCATGCTTTTATGATCAAATGTTCATTTTTTGTTATAGTTCATGTACAATATTCTAATAGAATGATATTATATGTTTTCTGTACATTTATAATATTCTATTAGAATAATGTTAAATGTTGTTTTTTTTATAGATTTATATGTAATGACCTTTTTACAATAATGTTTTAGAATTTATAGATATACGTAATGTTAATAAAACCTACTTACTGTGTATATGAGGAATATTCTAATAGAATAATTTTATAGGTTGTATGCTTATGTATAATAATTCTATTTGAATAATGTTATATGTTTTAGAATATTAGATATTACATATATTATATTTTTATGAACACTGATATAATAGAATATTTCACTAGAGAAAAGTGGTCTAATGATCTTAAGGTCTCAAAAAAATTGACATTTAGAACATTCAATTAGAATATTGTTAAATTTTGTTGGTTTTTATAGATTTATATGTAATGACCTTTTTACAAAAAAAAAAATGAATTTATAGTTATATGTAATGTTAATAAGACTTATTTACTATGGATATGTAGAATATTTTGATAGAATAATTTTACAGGTTGTATGTTCATGTAGAATAATTCTTTTGGAATAATGTTATATGTTTTAGAACATTAGAATATTATAAATATTATATTTTTATGAACACTAAAATATTAGAATATTTCACTAGAGAAATGTGGTATCATGGTCTCATAGCCTCACAATATTAAGGTCGTCTCATTTGAATCTACGCCTGATGTATGATGTTGATAATCTAATTGAATAATTTTATAGGTTTCTTGTTAAATAATTTCATTTATTAAATAAAAATAATATGTATATGTAGAATATTCAAATAGAATAAAGATATGTGTTATTTGTTTTCATAAATGTATATGTAGAATATTCTACTAGAATTATGTTAGAGGTTTTTAAATAAATAAGTTAATTTATTACATGAAAATAATGTGTAGTATATGTAGAACATTCTATTATAATAATGTTATATGTTGTTTCTTTTTGAGAGGTTTATACATAATGGGCTTTTTAAAATATAACACTACTTAATTATATCAACAACAAATATCAATGTAGAATATAACACATAACAATAACCAAATCTAGAATATTAGTCATAGTAAGAAAACACATTCAATTACATCATCATTTATAAACGTGTATTAGAATATTACACTTATAAATTATTAAAAGTAGAATTATACACTTCAATAAGATATCAGTATCATCAATATAGAACATATAATAATAGACTATATCATTAAATATGTGCACTATATCATGTATCATATTCAAAAAGAAATATGAAATTAATTGAGTAGTTCAACATACAACAATCAAAGTAGACTATAACATTATATATATGTACATGTAGAATATCCAGAATCGAAACTAAATAATCATTAGTTGAAACAAGTTCATTGCTTGTGTATGAATCTTCAGCACCATCATTAATTTGACCTACAAAAAAGTATTCCATTAATATTAATTATTGTATAAATATTTACAAAGTATTCTAAACTTAATTTTCAGAATATAGAAGCACGTATGAGTAATGTTTTCCAATTATTCTAATCAAAATAATATACTATTTACTATGTAATGTAATAAAAAATATGATGAAATGCGACCAAGTACCACTTATGCTTCATGCTAAACTGGTAGAAATTCATCTTTTACTTCACATACTACTGACAAGGAGGATAGTAACTAGCCTAAACCTTTCACTCGTATAATCAAAATAATAAAAACAATGAGGAAACATATTTCAAGGTTCAAGCTTCAAGCATCAACATAGTCTGAGATTTCCCTACAATGATTACACCAATCTTTCATATATGCACCATTTAGTGTACTTCTCTAAATATGATGGAAAAAGAACAACATTTATATCAACAAGAATATGATTTAATCATTTAGAGGCAAACCAATGATAAAACATGTTCCAAGCTCCAACTATCAACATGGTCAGATATTTCCCTACAATGCAAGCACCAATCTTTCAAAATCTTTCAAACATGCATAAATATACATCATGATACTTAAAATAAAACATAAAACATACTATTATTCTAATCATAATAATATACAATTCTATCATGATTTAAACAAAATTATGCTAAAATCAATCTTCAGCCATTTGTGTTTGAAAAAAAAATCATATTTAAACAAAACTGTAGT